TTTTGTGTTGAGGCCAATAGATCAAGAATCGGTTCAAAAATTGATTTTTGGGAGCGAGTTGCAGTCTGGGTCTTTTTAGACCCTAATGCATAATACATATGTCACTTTTTTGTAGCGCCACTCCTGAAGGTCGCTGAAAGCTTTATTTTTTCCTTGATTTGTTTTCCGTCGATGTTGTTTTCCGTGCTGAACACCAATGCACAGTGGTTCAAACGGCGAAAAATGTGATCGTGTGAGATTACGCAAAATCTCTTGACTTTAGGTATATAGTGTCTTCAAAGAAGTTTTAAGGCATAATTGGTGCCATCTTTTGACGGTAGCCATTTTGTGATCAATCCCCTAAAAGTGGGATCCAACACTCATTTTTTTATAAAGTTGAGATAGAAGGTTTGTGTATTTAACAAAGTTGTACATTATGTAAATACAAACAACTTTGCTGAAGACATGAACCTTCTATCTTTTTGCTCAATTGATCTATAAAGCGTTTTTTGTGGACGTGCCCCTTAAATCATATATTTTTACCATAACTTTTTCTATAAATTTTTACAGGTTTGCAATGTTGTAAGAACTTCTTTGTATTGTCAAAATACATGTTTTTGTTGAACATTATTTCTCGCTATTTCCTATATACTGGAGATATTTGGGATTTTTCAATAAAAGTGGCCTATTTTTGAACTCAAATATTTCATAAGGTGGCAGATGGTGGCAGATCAAACAACTTACATTTGAAAGTACAACAAAATGCTGCAAAATCATGCCAGAGTTGTCTGTAAAAATTACATAGAAACGTTGTGGTAAAAAAAATTTGATTTAAGAGGCACGTCCACAAAAAAACGCTTTATAGATGAATTGAGCAAAAAGATAGAAGGTTCATGTCTTGAGCAAAGTTGTTTGTATTGTCATAATCTACAACTTTGCTGAATACATAAACCTTCTATCTCAACTTTAAAAAAAATAATTTTGGATCCCACTTTTAGGGGGATTGATCACAAAATGGCTACCGTCAAAAGATGGCGCCAATTATGCCTTAAAACTTCTCTCAAGACACTATATACCTAAAGTCAAAGGATTTTGCGTAATCTCACATGATCACGTTTTTCGCCGTTTGGACCACTGTGCAATGCTACCGACGCCAGGGAGGCAGCTCCCACACCTGGACCCTACCTATCGACCCATCAACTCATAAACCGGGGACCAACGGCTTTACTTCCTCTCCGAAGGAAGGCGTGATCAGAGATGTTATGCCTCTGAACATCCCGGCGGCACCGACTGGGATTGAACCCATGCCTACTGGGGTGAGAGGTAATCACGCTTACCACTACACCACCGGCGCCGCTTCTATGAAAGCTTCATTTGACAGCTAAATGTTCGTGTCCAAAAGTTAGGAAAAGTGAGGTAATTTCAAGTCTCTATCATATTTCGATCGTCTTTAGGACCTTGGCAACCTTCCAGAATGGTCTAGAGCGGTCGTTCAGATTCTGGACAAGCCGTTCGAAACTTTCGTTCCGGTGTGAGACCATTCTGGAAGCAATCACCTTGTTCAAATCGATCATTTCAAGTTTCCTCGCTAGATCGCCGGTTCTTTGGAACTGGCGTCTACGAATATTTCTCAGGCGAATCAAGAGTTGGGTGTGAGAATCAATGGCAATAAACTTACCCCTCACAGGAACTCGTTGGACGCACGCCTTGTCAGCCACCGTTATGGCTTGATGGATTCCCTCCAACGCTCGGTCGATGTCCTCCACAGTTTCAAGCGGGGGGTTGTCGATGATGTGTCTGTCTACCACGCGTCCAAACTGGGCCCAATTAACGCGGTGGTAGTCCTTGCGCAGGCTTGGAGCAGGGGCCACGTTGGAGCCCTGTTCAGCCACAACCGGTTAGTGGTCGGAGCTGAGATCGTTCAAGGTTACCGGCTCGGACAAGCCCGTATTTGTCAGGAACAGGTGTAGCGTCGATGGCTTGCCCGCCGGTGAGATGAATGTTGGCTCGTTCTAGAACCAAACGGAGTACAGCCCATGCTGCGAGTGGTCGAACAGCAGACAACCGTTCTGGTTCTGCTGGTAGTTCCGCCAGGCCTCATGGCGGGCATTCAGATCTCCTCCAACAACAAAGCGGGAACCGGTACGGGTGATGGTGGGGGGGTCTTTCTTGAATTTAGCCGCTAGTCTACTGCTGGCGGCACACTGTTGAGGGCGATGAACTGGACGTATGCAGTCGACGTTTTCACCTCCACACCAAGGGCCTCGATGATAGAGGTGTGAATATGAGACAGACTGATACGATCAAGCTGAATGATGTTGTGGTTCGGCATCCAGTAACTGTCACCGGACTTGAGGTGGGTCTCGTTGAGGAGGCCCACGTCGATGTTATACTTGCGGAGGAAGTCGTCAAGCTCTATGTTTTTTGCTTTTAAGGAGCAAGCGTTCCAGGTGACCATAGCTAGTGGTTTAGACGCCATACTGGATGATTATTGTGGCAGTTACGAAGAGCACCGGTCAAGTTAACAAAAATTTCAATCAGTTCATCCGCTCAGAACAGATCGGGGTTATTGTTTTGCGCTGTTGGTTGTCTCCAGAATCCAGGGGGTGAAGATATTTGCTCAACAGAATCACCACAAGCTTCTTGAGGGGGGGGGGGGCTTGTTGCACCCGTGAATTCGCTTGCCTTTGCTGAGGTGCACGAAGAGACGGAAAATCCTCCGTCCTGAATGCCGGGGTTTTGTCCTTCTTGCATTCTGATTGGTTGTTGGTTGCCACCTGTTTTCGGATTCGTTTGAAGTACTCGCGTTTGGAGCACTATCTGTTGGAACCATGACCGCAGGGCAGTTGGAAGTGGCGTGTTCTTGAGCGCAGTTGCAGCAGCGTGGCTTGATGTTACAGTTGCGGGTACCATGTCCAAAGTTGAGGCACCGCTTGCATTCGTTACAAAGTTACAGCTTTTTTTAAGTGGCGAAGGCTAAACACGTTTTTGGAAGTTTTGTTTATTTTTCTTGGAAAGGAATAATCGCTTCATACCACTTCGTCTCAGACTTTCGGTTGGAAGTGACATTTTAGAGTTATAGTCAGGAATGCTTATTGCCGGGGTAACGGGGGCGTGAATAAGGAACCGCGAATAAGGATACCCACAGCTTAGGGGATTTTCACTAATGGGGGCTGTGGTGGATTATCTCATTTATTTCAATATATAAAGCTATACTGTCTTCGACAAAGTTGTTGTACTGGGATAGACCAACAAGCCTGTGTCATTGTATTCAGGTTTAATTGATAACTACGCCGCTAGAGGCGCTTCACTTTTATGTTACTTATAACGGGCGCAATAATATATGGATCTTAGGTCCAACATAGAATTTTTCATGATCCTCGCCATATAGAAGGTTACTGTCTTGAGCAAAGTTGTTCAAGTGACCAAGTCCTTTCGGATAGTTGCCATATAAGTTCAGAACTCTCTCACTACACAGCGCTAGTGTGCACATGAGCTTTTTATATAAGCTGTATCTCAAAATCCGGGCCATATAGAAGGTTACTGTCTTCAGCAAAGTTGTTCAGGTGATCATGTCCTTTTGTATGGTGTTCATATTAGTTAAGAACTCTCTCACTACACACGAAAGGACTTGATTACCAGCACAACTTTGCTGAAGACAGCAACTTTCTATATGGTCAGGTTCTCGAGATACAGTTTATATAGGAAGTTCACAAGCACAGTAGCGCTGCGTAGTGAGAGAGTTCTGAACTAATATGAACACCATACAAAAGGACATGATCACCTGAACAACTTTGCTGAAGACAGTAACCTTCTATATGGCCAGGATTTTGAGATACAGCTTATATACAAAACTCATGTGCACACTAGTGCTGCGTAGAGCTCTAAACTAATATGGCGACCACAAGGATCACGAAAAATTGTATGTTGGACCTAAGATCCATATATTATTGCGCCCGTCATAAGTAACATAAAAGTGAAGCGCCTCTAGTGGCGTAGTTCTCAATTAAACCTGAACCCAATGACACAATCTTGTTGGTCTATTCCAGTACAACAACTTTGTCGAAGACAGTATAGCTTTATATTTTGAAACAAATGAGATAATCCACCACAGCCCCTATTAGTGAAAATACCATAAGCTGTGGGTATCCTTATTCGCGGATAGCCCGGCAATAAGGATCCGGCAATAAGGGATACTGGCAATAAGGAATCCGTCGATAAGGATTCCTGACTGTATGATTTATTGAAAAATATCGAATACGCCATTTCAAAATTTAGCGAGATTCGAAATGGCAGAATTTTAGCTCATATGTGAATTAATGACCATAGCAAACAATTATGCAATTAATGACCATAGCAAACAATTATGCAAATTAATAGAGATGAACTAGCCAACGGCTAAAAATCTCTCTTATAAAGTAAAAAAAAAATGCAAATCCGAAATAGTCGAGTCGGAAAATTATGTCTTATTAGTGATCATCGCAAACACTTTGGAGGCATAAATATATCAATTTATTATTGCAATAAAGTTTTAAAAAAGGTTCATTTTGGCCATTTGCCCTGACCTCTTGGCACCGTATCTGCTCCATTACCACTCATATTTTGGATTTTCTAATATTTCGGCATTCTGAATCTGAAAGAAATGGTCCCATTTGTAAACTCTGGGGGTCACTACCGTGATCTTTTCTTGTGAGGTTGACCAGGACAGTGTTCAAAAACAAACATTTTCAATTTCAATGAAAGATCGTGTTTATTTATTGAACGCAATCCCTAGTAGCACAATTTTCACAAACCATTTCTTTGTGACAAGTTGCTGTAAATTTTGTATTTTCGTTTCTCAGCTAAAATTTTTCAAAAGTATTAAGTTTTTAGTTTTAACTCATAAACTGCCATGAGCCTCCATTATTCAAAACTAAATATTAAAACATAACATGCTATAATACCTTTAGTCCCAAGACCATGAAAATCATGACCATCGATTATAACAATGTTTTTCAATGTAAAGCCACAATTAAAGAACATATTTATATTTTTTCCTGAAAATTTTATTAATAATCTCTCATTTAACCTTTTAATCCAAACAATCGGTTCAGTGTTTTAAAAGTTATGATTTTTAAAATAATTAAAACTAGGAAAATGCTGAATTTTTGCACCACCCTAACACGGAGAGGGCGAAATAAAAAAATATAGGTCTAGTATTTTTTTCAATATTGAACAAATTACCTATTGAAGCGAAATTATAAGATCCACTATAACTGTTTTCTATGGGATTGCTGAATTATGAGTTTCAAGGAAATCTAAGAGAGTCAAGTCTATTGGTTTTGTTTTTTTTTATCTGGAGTAGCTAAATTTTAATGGTTGATAAAAAAAAACACTCAGAACACCAGTTTTAAAACATTTGAATGTCAAAATTTGTTCCACTTTAGGGGCTGTTCATGAGCCACGCAGACACTTTAGGGGGTTGGGAGTTCTAAAAAAAATGTATTTAAAGATTCAGTCATAAGTACTCACCATTTTTTCCTGGAAGCACGGTACGATCACCCGTGGTTGATCGGCAAATGAAATCAAATTGAAAAAGTCATCGTCTCCCAGCGTGTCCATGATTGCGGAAGCTGTGGCCACTGCTAGCTGATACTCTTTACCACTCATCGATCCCGACGAATCCAGCAAGATCATCTACGTAAATAAGCACAAATATAGAATCTTATTGAGTTTTGATAATAATAACGTTTTGTTTTGCCTACCACATCCTTCGGTGAGGAAGCTGCCTGTATGAACCAATCCTCCGATCGGAAATCGCTGATTTCCTTGCTGCCGTAGGAAGTTTCCGGAGGCCAAGCTGTCCCAGGGAACCGTCTCAGGAAGCCAGTGCTGGAGCCAAAATACTGCCACGACAAAGCCGAGTCCCTCTCGATATTGTTGGCGAAAAGGGGATCCAAATGAGAAGACCACTTAATGGCTGCTTGCGTTTCTGCATCTAACATTGAAGGAAAAATCAAATAAATTGATTGTGAATGAAGGATAAATGGCGAAAGCCACCCATGTCCTTACCGTCAACGTTTAACCCACTCGCCATCAGTACCGAGCTGAGGCTAATATTGACCGGATAGCCCTCGAAGCGCCTCATGTGCCTCAGCAGCATCTGCCGGGAACCCTCAGCCAATCGCCCGTCCGATTGGTACTCGTTTATTCGTCTGGCATCGTAGAACCCATTCCCGTGCGATTTGGACGCACCGGACTCCAGGTCGGACTCGGACAGTGCCGCTTGTTCGGCCGAGTCCATTATTCGCTGTTGGATTTCACCAATGTCATCAACGTGCCAAGCAGAGTGCCATAGATTTGGAGAAAAGGAAAGCAAAAAGTGGAAAATCGCATTAAGTTTAGCTAATCCATTTGCAGTTTTGAAAAGAAAATGCTCCTTTCATGACATACACACACACACCCACACACACTCACTGAACTTTGTGTCCCTTTAGTTCGCATTTTTATTTATCTTTGCTCCACGGAAAAGAGGGAGTATGGGAACATGGTTCAACATGCCTTTTTGCCAATTTTAAATGCATTTCCAAAAATTTCTCGAGGATATATCTAGCAGCAATGCTAATTGAACCATAGAACTAGCAATGCTCATTCACAGATCCTCGAAAAAGAAGTATAAAACGTACTTTAAATTCTAAAAAGTAATTTTGCCCCGGGGGTCCATTTTACCCCAGAAGTCCTTACTACACATGCCATCATGTATGAAAAGCAAACATAGCACTCGATTGAATGAAAACCATTTGTAACTACACACGAGCAGCAGCCAGTATCGGTCTCCGTACCAAGGCATTCAACTTGAAAGCAGCATCCAGCTGGGGAACTACACATGGGGCCGTAGCATAGCTCCAGTAGCATTCCTACATGTCCGATACGGTTGACGAGAGTTGTATTTTTTTACTCCATCCTCTACTCTTCAAATGGAAAAGTTGTGCATCTGGATGAAACTAAACCTACTGTTTTTGTTGTTGATACCTACATACAAGGAATGATGAGCCGAACGGATGCTGATAGATAAAGGTTAAAGAAAGCGTGTAAACATACTATGTTCATATCGTACGGAGCGAACTGCGTCGGCTATTGATCTTAGAAAGCTAACGTTAATCTGTTATCTGAATTCTAGTAATTATTAAAGAAGCTGTTCAGAGGCTACGTAAACAAATTATCTTCATGAATCCCCTAGGACGTATGAAATGCTTATGACCTGTTGATGTAGTTTAACCTACCAAAATAGCGTCGTGGTCCTAGCACCAACTATTTAGTGAACAGTATAAGTTGGAATCGACACACTAGGTGGCACCAGAGTGCAAAAAAAAAACATGCCGATGACCAGATAGAAAGTGAATGTCTTCGGCAAAGTCGAAGTAACACTGATCAATTGTGAACCACATACTGAAGACAAAGGGTGGAACTGTAATTGACTTGAAGGATTTCAAGTGGAAATGGAATTTGGCAGTCAAACAAGTGGGAACAGGGCTCGTTCGAAAGATGATGGGCCGTGTACGAAGAAAAGCTCGAGCTATGGCCTATGTAACACTGAAGCAATGGTCTTACAATCAGCATAACACCTACTAATGTATAGCTGTTACATTGAACAATGAAAACTAAAACGCAATTTTAAACCCCAACAAAATGTTCGTGTCTGGATTTTTTCGTGTTCAAGCCTTAAGTAAAGGGTGACCCACATCAAATTGCATCACGAAAAAAAAAAAACACTGTAGAAAATTACCTTGTTGACCAATCCTTTTCAAACTTTCAGACAATAAAATAATACCCATTAGTAAGCGTTTGGCATATATATTTTATTCAACTTCTATAACATAACCGTACGCTCGTACCTTACGCTTAACTCCACTCATTAGGTTCTGTACAACATCTGGTTGCAGCTTCTTCTGTAGGGAAACCCACTTTTTCTTCATGTCTTCCTCAGATTTGACCTCCTTGGGATGCTTCCGTAGAGCCTGCTTTATAATGGCCCAGTATTTTTTGATGGGTCTTAGTTCCGGTGCGCTGGGGGGGGGGGGGGCGGTTCATGTCCTTGAGTACGAAAGTGACCCCGTTGTCTTCGTACCACTCCAGGACAACATTTGAATAGTGGCACGAAGCTAGATCCGGCCAGAAGATCGTAGGGCCCTCATGTTGCTTCTTTAGACACTCCTTGAGGTAGATCTCTCCGTTTGTAGCAGATTGCTTGACAAATCATTCATTTTTTTGCAAACTTTGAAAGTTTCTGCTGGGCGGTGAAGACCAGTAGCCCCGAAAGCTGCCGGCGTGACGTAAGTCTCATCATCCATGATGAGACAATGAGACTTCACCAGCATCTGGGTGTACAGCAGGCCCGTGACCAGAGCTGCTAAATATCACGGCCGTCATGTGACGATGAGAAAACAGGTCCTCTCACTATTACGATACGAAACTACCTATCATTAGCTTTCTTGTCATTTTTCAATGATCAAGCACTCATGAGAATTATTCTTATGCGGCTTTGACATCAATATTTCTAACTGATTTAGATGAATTTAAGCAAACAACCGTATGTAATCGGTAGAGTGAATATATTCTAAAGATTTCCTCGGTACAAGTAACTTTAATAGTATTAAATGGGCTTGTAATTACGATGATCACAACACTGTGACGTTCTGTCATGACAAAAAATTCGATGAAATTTTGAAGAAAATCTCTATCATCGTTTTCTCATCCAATGATAGTGACAGAAGTATCTCTGTAAATATCGCGTGAGATCTTTCATTGAAAATTACATTTGCCAGCCCTGCCCGTGACTTTCCCACCGTATTTTGCCGTTCGTCACGATTTGGAGCCTTCTGCACTTTGTACGTATGCATTACCTCCCGGCCCTTGGCTCTCTGAACGAAAGACTTGGACAATTTCAACATTTTGGCCACATCCCTGACCGAAGCATTGGGATTCCGCTTCAACGCTTTCACGACACGCTTTTGATTCTGATCACTAATAGAACATCCATTCTGAACGCATTTCTCCTTCCGTTCGATGCTCAGAGTTTCGTAGTAACGTTTAATCACATGACTCACCGTTTACTGCACAATTCCGAGTTGTTTTCCGATGCCCCGATGAGAGAGTTGAGGATTTTCCAGGTGCTTGCGCAAAATCAATTTTTTTTTTCTTTCCTTTATTTAACGTCGGTCTCTGTTCCGCAATCTAGTGCCAATCACCGACGGACATCGATTGCCATCCATTGACGGCAACCGAATGTGCAGGAAGGCAGCTTCCACACCTGCGTAGGATATCGCACCCATTCACAACACACATGGGCCGGGACCAACGGCTTTACTTCCCTTCCGAAGGAAGACGTGACAAGAGATTTTTATGCCTCAGAAAAATCCCACCGACCTCGGCTGGAGATTGAACCCAGACCCATTGGGGTGTTAGAAAGCAGTCACACTTATCACTACACCACCGGCGCCGGCCGCAAAATCAATTCGCGACGTTGCTTTTCGGGTGACGCCATTTTTTTCCAACTTCCGAAAAACTGACAGCGATAAAAATACAGTGTAAACAATACACTCTTAACTACTTCTACCCAAATTTTCAAGAGAAAATACCCGATGCACGGGAAAAAATCCGATCTCCGAACTGAGAAAAATGACTCATGATTTCATGAACATAGCGTATTTTCATGTTATGAAAATACACCATGAATAATATTCATGATATCATGAGCAACTTTTGCGTAACGCAGCAAACATTCCCAAAATCATGAATCATCCGAGTTGAAATCATAATCTAAATTCATGGGTTTAACTTTTAACCAAAAAATGTAAAAAGAATAAAATAAAGCATCAGACTGGATTCGAACCAAGAACCTTGAAATCATTTAACCCATTCTTTGACCACTAGACTATCAGTTCTTGTATAAGATGGAAGACAAAAGACGTATAAAACATACCTATGTAGAGCGGTTTATGAACACGGTTTGCCAAATACGTGTAACGCTTGTAGCGGTCTTGATTCCACTGCATTATGAAACCATGAATTTCCATGACGTTATCATGAATCATTGTTACGATTTTATGGGATGGCAAGTTTTTACATTTCATCATTTTTTTATTCATGAAAATGGAATCGGATTTGTTTCCGTGTGGGTAATTTTCTACAGCGTTTTTTCCGTGATCCAATTTGATGTGGGACTCCCTTTACCTGATTTTTTCCATTTTATGATGTCTTGGAAAGATTTGATCGCAATCACTTTCAGCTGTAGATGCAGCAACAGGTGCATCTCTCGGTGTCGATCGCTTTCGACAGTTGGTTTACTTTGTTGTTCGGAGCAACTTTGCCAGATTTTTTTCAAGCTGATCGGTATCAAAGGTTTTAAAAAATCGGTATTTATGTGTATTTACTATGTTGAATAATGTTATATTTTTGCTGTCACCTTTATATCAGCGATGAAGGTAGCCTTAGAGATGCCACGGCGAACACTAAGTAATTGTAGGGACATCAAATTACAGCTACAGCTAGGATCACTCCAGGGTAGCCAACGAAGAGCGAAACGTACAAATCTGAATGGCCTCAATACAATTCACCCCGTTGCTGTAAAAAAGAGCCCAATACTACGGAACAGTCCTCCAATGTGGAGTGGACTAGCGAACAATACAGTGTTTTTAAACAGAAAATCCCCCTAAAGTCTATGGCGAAACCAAAAATGAAAGTAAGTTGAGATGAGGTAAGTTCGGCATAAATACGTGTTGTTCGGTCGCGATGTAACTAGAGCATGTGTGTTTTCAATAATCTAGCACAAATAGTTCAAAAAGTTTTGAGACTGCACAGAAAGCGGCGATGTCACGGTAGTTGGACCACCGACAAACCGACATGACACTTAATTCTAACTTATGCCCGAAAATCGTAAACGGTCGATTCAAATGTGCAGTGATCCGAACTGTCAAAACCATAGGATTTTTTGATCTAGATAAAAATAATTTTTCCAGAATAGATCAGACACGAACTAATTCATAACTTTTGCATGCGGTCTCATGGCTTAGCTAAATATTTCCCGGGAACCCGGAGCCAGATGTCATTAGTGTGCTTTGGTCAGAAATTTTATTGTTTTTGCTATGGTCATTTATGTCGGTTTGTCGGTGGTTGGACACCGACTGCTTATTGCCTTTTTTTGAAGACAGAGAAAACAAAAGAATCCTTCAAGCCGTCAGGAAAGATCCCAGAATCCAAAGAGAGGTTGAAGATGGATGCTAAAGGTTTTTAATAATCGCGGAAGGGATT